TTTTTTTTTTTTTTTTTTTTTTTTTTTTTTTTGTTCTACACTAATAACAACTTACTTATCGAGCTATGACTTATGGTAGTGTCAACGAAGCAGTTGTCCAGCTTTGAGTGTTTTATACTGTAACAGAAGCACGTATACTGACCATTAAATAAGATTGTTCTTAAGTAACATTTTTTATTTTAAGATAAGATTACTAGATATACTTTTTTTGACTACAATTGAAGAAAAAATTGTCAAAAAATTGTAACAAATAAAAGTATCTATGTCATAGTTTTTTATTCTTTGCTTATCACTATTGCGTATCAGATTCTAGAATATAAATTTTTAATTTAAAAGAGAAGAGAAAATTGAATTTTGCAACAAGAGAAAAAAAAGAATATTTTACATGAAAACCAACAGCAGTTGCAGTCAATTCAGTGGATAATAATCAATCTGTAATAATTATTTCAATAAATTAATTGGTTTCTTTAAAAAAACTGACTACTTAAAGTGAATTTTTTTCACCAGTTTTCACTATATTTACATATAATATTTCTGTGTGTGTGTGTTTTTAGTTCGATAACAGAATCTGTATCTATGATTCATATTTATAGATTATTAAGAGGATAAAAAAGAGGGAAGGAGAGGCGGTAGAAGTGTTTTTTCTGTCGAAAATAAAATTGCTGATAGAAATAGAGCAATTTTTTCAATTTTTATGTATTTCTTTTGAAAACAATTTAAAACGAGTTGTTATAAATCGTAACTGAGCAGTAAAACTTTTAGATATTTTCCGCAACTAACCAAACAGATTCTGCATAAAATTAGCACAAAAAAAGGAAAAACCTTATTGTTTAGAGTAAATTTCTTGAATAATAAACGTTATCAGAATATCATTTTTGAATACAGCCAAGTAGACTTCAAGTACTTTTTTTTTTCCTCGCTCAGATTATTCATCAATCAACTGTGTAACGTTTTTTGGACAGATTTACATCGATGAAACATATGAATGAAGGGAATGAATAGACAAATAGATCGGCAACTATTGCCTGGTACCTATGGTATATTATGAGTTTATATAACAATTAAAAAGTACATATTTTTTTCCTTGTAAATAACCAAGTTGCAGATCTGTTTTTGATGAAGATATTTGCAAATAATAATTACTGCAATAACGACACTTTTAATTGCTTTCAATTGGATCGTATATTTTGCAATAATTTTAACATTTTTTAGTTTTTTTTTT